TAAACTATCCAGTTCTGCAGCTTGCTCATAGACTGTAAGACGCTAACACAAAACAAAGCAATCCAAAAAAAGCCTACAAATTAGTGAGAAATTCACAAACCAGAAAAGCAATACATTTGTTCTTTGGGGAATGACAACAGAAATTTGTGTTATGTTTTCTTGATTACTAAGGACTGATAATCGTTTTGTAATTTAAAAAAATTATTGGCAATATCAAAGACCCCAACAGCTCAATAGGAAGGTTTGTGGTCCCTCATAAAGGAATATCCTATATGCCCGTTTTCAGCTGTCAAAGATTCCTTCCTCTGGGTGTCTAGGCTCGTTTGCTTTCGTCTGGCGATGCATGCCAACCAATCCTGGCAACCTTTCAAGAAAATGACTCAAAATGTAATTCACAATTAGCCCCTAATACCTTTTTGACCCATGCCCTAATTTTATGGAAACAAATTAAGCCATGGGATAAACGTACCACTCAAAATATCCCGTGGCACCCAGTGCTGTAGTCAAAAGCCACAGGATATTGTTAAGATGCCAAATAGGATCCCTTGCCACCTGTTTGAGCACTGACACCCTCCGAGTCCACATCGGGACAACATTTAAAAAGAGACAACTCTGTCCATAGTTGAGCAGATGCCCCATGCTGACAGCTTGAATCCAATCCTACTCGATCCTACACCTTCAGCCAATCGTGAGTGAGTGTGTGTGTGTGTGTGTGTGTGTGTGTGTGTGTGTGTATCTATGATCCCCTCTTTTGACAAATGATTTCTTTTTTTATGATACTCTCTGAAAGTTACAACTTATGGATCTTAGACGGAGGAAGGAAAAGGCTAGGAACTTTCTGGAGATTTAAGCATTTGAACTCACACCTGTGAGGGGTCTTGCTTTGACTTTACCACACTATCTATGAAAGTCACTCAATTACACATCATGTTAGGCACTTGGAATGCCCTCTTGAGAATGGAGCGGATGCTATAAACCTTCCAGTAGCTCATCATTAGCAGTGCCGTTACTGTGATGATAAACTTTAAATTATGTTCATACACACATTCTTCTTATACCTGAATTGTAAATTAAAGTTTCAAGTTTTTTTTAACTTTAGACTAAGGAACAGAGAAAAAAGTAAAAAGCTGCAGATAAATTACTGTGTTAATTAAAATAAGATTCTAGCATACTGATCTTATACCAATGGGAGAAAACATTACTAGACTTCTAGCCCTAGTAATGTTTGTAATAATACGGACAGACGCATGGGTCCTTGCTTAATGTTTTACATTCAGTAGATGTTCAATAATCACTAAGGAGATTAGACAAAGACCAGATGGACATCAGTCAAAGGACCCTAACAGGGTCAGCAATGGCAAACCTAACAGGTGATGAAGAATAAGATGATGAAAACCATTCCAGTGGCTGGTAACATTTTCAGGTTTTATAATCTAATTTTAAAGGTAGCCATCTCTTCTTTTGTTCTATTTGAAAATTAAATATTCAATTAAAGGGATATATTTATCCAAGACTATATACAATATATCCAATTAGCATCTGTATGTTGGACTGTGTGACACAGTCCTGCAGATTAACAGACACAACTGAGTACACAACTATCCTTGCCTTCTGATGGTCTGAAGACTGAATTCTGTCACCTTCAGTCAATGGTAAAACCCTTGAAAACTAACTTCTGCCATAGCTCTCTACCACAGCTTCATGCAGATTAACTAGCTGGGGGAGTTGAAGATAAAAATCCTGGCTTATTGGTGTTAGCCCTCAGATTTATCACCAAATCAAAAATATTTACTGATTTTACATTCTTAGCAATGGTTGCCATACTTAAAGTAGCAGGAAACATTATCTAAGTGGTTTTCTGACTGCAAGCAGGCTTTATGAATGGACGCCGATGAAGGCCATTCTGGACAGTTATGTAGCCCCATACTTTCTCCCTGGGTTATTTATGGAACGTGTATGGCTGGTTCAAAAGGATCATGTTTATTTTTACAAGCCAGTCATGACATGGAGGAGTTGTACTTCCTCTCCCTGGGAAGGTCACCTTCTTCACCTGAGTGGCAAGAGGGGTAGGAAGAAAGGATCTCCCCCTGACCAACTATGGAGCAACAGGCGAAGGGTCAGACGGTCATTTCCCAGGCACAACTCCTAAGATGCCACCAGATTATAAATAACAAGTGAAAATAAAATGGATTTTGTATGATGCTTCAAATTTTACAACCAAATAGATTATATGAAGATAATAGAGACAATTCTTATTTATGATTTGTCATATATTTTGAACTGTTAAATGCAAATAAAACAAAACTGAATTTAGTGGATGTGGCAAAATGGAGATCATGGAAAAGGATTTCTTAAACAGTTCCACTCTGATGGCTATGTTACTCCTGAAATACGTAATAAGTCTGGTAAGCTCCATGCAAATGGAGACTGAGTAAATATTTGCTCTAAAACGGCATTATCTGCATTATATTATCAGAAATAATGTAAGTCAGCTGGTAACATGTAGTTAAGCCATCCCTGATCTTGAATGGTGTATGTGGTACCTATTTGCAAACAGGAAGGGAAGCCGATACCCTGTTTTCACTTAGAGTGTCCTATTGCCAATGCTAGTGGCACAGCAAGAGGGGGAACGGAACCTGCAGAAAGAAAATGCCAGGAGGAGAGGGGAGATGAACCCTCCTTCTCCCTGGATCATACGGGGTGGAGAGACCTTTCCTGGGAAAGCGGGTCATCTCATTGGCTCATGCATCATAACCACTTGAAAATGATATGGGTATGATTTTATCCTCAAGTGGCCTCTGCTTAAAGACAAAGACACATAGCAAGAGGGGACCTGGAAGCTCTGCAACCAAAGCCTAAAATGACAAATTCTGGGTTTTAGTTTCCGTCCTCACAGTCACAGGTTCTTTCAGATGTCTCTCTCTTGAAAGTTCTTTTAAAAGTGTGTGTGTGTGTGGGGGGGGTCCTGTTAGACAAACACAAAACAAAACAACCCTACAAAACCTACAAAACACCCCTTAACCTGTTTCTCTAGGTTATGAATGGACATTCTTTGAGAAGCTACAAGAGGCAGCAGTGACATGTGAGTAGGTGGGGGTGGCTGCATCCTGATCTCCACAGTTATCCTTAAACATCCTTGCTGAATTAAGTGTCGCTGAGGACCAGTACCTTCGGGGAGTACGCATCAAAGGATGAGACACTGGCATCATCAGGGTTTTGCAAAGTGTACTTAAAATCCCACCGAGAAGCCCTAAATTCAGTACACACAGGGCAAGTGAACACACACAGGGCATTGGTTCCTCCAGGGAACTGTGCCAAGATTCTCTATTTACAAATACAGTAGCAATTAAGAGCATAAACAAAACAGCTATCTTTTCAGGAGCACCATCCTCACAGTACTGAGGTAACTGTGCTTGCCTTAAATTACACCATGAAGCCAAGACTACCTATTCACCAATGTGGTTGGCTTTTAGCCAGAAGGACTTACCAAGAAGTGTGAGGCATATTTAAATACACTACCTCGGTGGTTTGTGATGAAGCACTGCCATTTTAATGACAGGTTAGCATTTATAAGAAATACTTAACAACATGGGCCAATAGGGTCATTGAAAGAATATGGGAGGGGGGGCATGCTCCTAACTTTTCCAGGTGACTGCCTGTCATTTCTACAGTTTGGATTCCATTGAGACTTCGGTGTTTAACTGGACAATTGTAGTCTTAACTCAAAAATTTCAGGAATAAGTAACACGCTACTAATTCTCATAATAGGACTGCCTCATGTATTCCTGATTGCCTTTTAAGCAGGATACATGCATCCATGCCCCCTCTCCCACTCCTTGTGGTGGCCACTAGGAACCTCAGCCACATTAGAGAGCTGACTCTTGCAGAAGCCATAGGCTTTGTACACCTCTAAGCTATTTCTGGTCCCACTATAAACCTAAAACCAAGCCCATCTTCCTTCCCTTCTGTTCAACCACAATTTGCAGAAAAGTAGGAAAAGAATACACTATTCTCCCAATACAAGAAATGGTGTCTGAGGACCAGTCATTTGGGCATTGCTTCAAAAGGCACATTTATTTTAGTGGCAACTTAAATAAGTAGAGAGGAAAGAGTCTGATTAAAAAAAAAAAAAAAAAACCAACAACAACAAAAAACCCAGGGTGGGTTTTGTGGAATACATTAAAGTAAGTAGGAATTGGAGACCTATACAAACCACTGGAACCTCACCAATAGTCTAATCAGGGTCCCTAAGTAGTCATTCCACTTTATCATGACACTCATAGGCCTTCAGAAAACACTGTTTAAAAATGTAGTAGAGAACTCTCAAGCAGCTTGTCCTAATGTCCAGTTCACGTGTGCAATGCAGAAGGCTGCAAAATCAGAACTATGTGACAAAGAAAACTCAGTGCATCTCACGGGCTTTGATAAATTAGGAAAAAAATCATTGTATATATTATCATTTAAATAACATCTGATAAACATTTTTAAAATAATTAACTTGTGTTCACATTCCATGCATTGTCTAGCGGGTTAAGCCCTAGGTTTGTGTCTTTGTGCCCATTTCCCAACAAAGAAGGGTCCATTCTTTTTAAGAAATCCAAGCATTTCTAGACTGCAGTGGAAGCAGCCAGGGATTTGGGTTTATCCTCTTTACTGCATACCTGCCTTCACTAAGGGGCACAGAAGACTGTTAGAAGAGCCAGCTGTTTGGGACTCTATCTGTGATTTTCTTCGTTGTCTTTGCAAAATCCCTGGATATCACGGACAACATTTAACTTTTCTTCCCAGAGGCGCTCTTCCTTCTGCATCATCCCCATCTCCCTCTTCCAAAGGCCAGTGGACTGGGATCCCCAACTAGCAGAGCAGACCTTTCTCTTGCGGTCTGCAGCACCCTCCTCTAGCAAAGAAGGAAACAACAATACCTGAAAACAAACCAACAATAACAACAGAAACGCCACGCAAACAGGTGGGCAAACCACAGCTTCCTCCTGGGTGGAGGCTCACTTTTTACTGCTGAATTCGGAGTTTTTCAGGAACTTCCGGATGACCAGCCCCAGGCAAACCACCAGCAGCAGCATGTAGCCCACCGTGCCAAAGAAGGTGGGAGCAGCAGGGGATGCCTGCAGGAACTGGCGCAGGCCTTCTTCCACGTAGTACACCTGGTCATAGATGCTGAGGAAGGTGAAGATGTGGAAGAGCTGGTGGCTGTGGCCGATGATGTCGAAGAGACCCGGATGGATGCGCTCAGGGATCTTGCTGACGTTGAAGAAGGCGGCCACCACCAGCCAGAAGTAGCGACGGTAGAAGTGCACGAAGAGCGTGGGATTTTCACCGCGCAGGTCGAAGAGCCAGCTCTCCAGCATAATGGGGCAGGCCATGCTGAGCGGCATGACGAAGACGAAGGTGCGCAGGGCGAAGGGGTAGGAGCACCAGTCAGTGCGGCTCTTGCAGCAGGCCACGGTGCAGGCCACGGCTAGCACGAAGGCCACAGGCAGCACGAGCGCACGGTAGGCCGCGATGAGCAGGGTGCAGTCCACGTGCCAGCCCAGGAGCTGCTGCACGTACGGCGTCATGACCCTGGCGTCCAGCAGGCTCAGGCTGGGCAGCAGGTAGTAGTAGTAGGCCACGGTGCTGCCAAAGCCGTAGTAGCTGATGGAAGCATAGTCCAGGTAGAAGAAGGCGGCGCGCAGGCGCAGCGACAGGCAGCTGAACACGTGCGCCGTGCAGCTCATGGCGAAGGTCAGCAGCACCCCC